GGTCAGGTGCCCGCCGCCGCCGACTGGACAACCCTGGCGGCGGCCAGGCAGGATCTGGGGCGGCCGATAAGGGGCTGCAGAGGGTGTGTCATTATCACGTCCCCAAACTAGGGCTCGGAACGCACCCTCGGGAGAGGGAGGAGCCAGGCCGTGAGCCAGAGACCCAGAGTGCCTCAAGTCAGCTGGGACCGTGTGCTGGTGTGGCCTCCGTGAGCGGGCACAGACCCTTAAATTGCCCAGGCTGGGCTCGAACTTTCGATCCTCCTGCCCCAGCCTCCAGGAGGGCTGGGATGACAGGCATGGCCCAGCTCTGCCTCCCGCTTCTACAGCCCCTGCGCCCCGGTTCCAGTCCAGCAGAGCCGAGTCTGTTGTTTTTTTGGTGGTTTTTTTTTTCTTTTTTTTTTTTTTTAGACAGGGTCTCACTGTGTAGTCGAGTCTGACCTGGAACTCACTATGTAGCCCAGGTTGGTCTCGAACTCCCAGCGATCCTCCTGCCTCAGCCTCCCAAGTGCTGGGATTACAGAAGTGCGCCACCACGCTGGGCTAAAATGTACCAATAAACTCAATTAAAGCTGAAAAAAAAATAAAGTTGAACAGGTATCATAACAAAAAAAAAAAAAGCCAAGTCTGTTGTGCCGGCTGATGCCTTCGATGCCCTAATTTGTCATCTGCAAACCGGAAGGATAGTTCTGGCCACCTGGGAACCGTATTTCAATCAGCACGGGAGGCAACACTCAGTAGGGGCCCTGCCAGTGCCACGGGGAGGAAAGCGGATCCTCCGCAATAAAGCTCTGTCCGTTTTGCCTGAGCTGAGCGCATTTCCCTGGCGAGCCCTTCACATCCATTCGGGCCGCGGAAGGGGCTGAACCCTACCTCCCTGGGGGCTGCATCCTCTGGCCCTAGGCGTTGCCAGGAGGAGTCAATTTTTCTCCCAGGGAGGGGAATGACCCACAGCTACCAATCAGAGCAGCCCAGAAACCCAGACTATAATTGGTTCAACATGGGACCACATGACCACACGCGTCCAATCACATCTGGGCGCCGAAGCTGTAGCCCGGCTTGGGAAGGGCAGAGCACCGGCCAGGAGGTGGGCAGCGCCCCCTGGTGACAACGCCATGGACCCCTGACGCTGCTCACCCTGCAGTGGCACCGTCTGGGGAAGCCACGTGCCTTCTACTCCGTGGATACCGTTCCTGTCACTTGCACCAAGGCCTAGGTTGGCAACTCTCAGATTTTTATTTTGATGCCAAAAATCGCAGAGGGATAGAATATCAACGTGGGCGTGACCAGTGAACGCGCATGGTGCACACCCCGGGCTCCTGCTCAGAGCCCTTGGGTACCAACAGGAACCCCTTGGGGTCCCACGCAGCCCGGATTTGAGAAACGGCCGTGGGGACCCGGAGTTGCGCTGCACAGAGGCTGCAACCGACACCGGCGGTTCACACGGTGGCCTCAATCTCGGCGACCTCCTCGTCCTCTTCCAGGAGGCTGTAGGACGCGTGGCTCTGGCAGGGCCGCTGCAGCGGGTGAGCCAACAGCTTCGCCATGCAGTTGTGCAACTCCAGGGCCGGGCCGGTGAATGGTACCTCATACCTGTAGCTGGTGCCCTTGGTATCTAGGCTGCCCATGAAAGCGAACATATCCTGGGGGACAATAAGGGACTGCTCAAACCACCCTTGCCCAGAACAGGCCATCCCTGCCCCAAAGGAAGAGACACCTGTGAAGGGTTCTGAAGGGTAAGCGGGAATTTGCCAAGCAGAAAACATTCATGCAGTCAGCAGCCCTGACATCCACTTAGTGCTGGGACCCGAAAGGCCTCCGTCCTGGCCCTCTAACAGCCCCCACCTCCGGCAGACTCGGGCACATCTCCATCCCCTCGACGAACTTTTCTGAGGGTTAGGGAAGGCTCTGCAGACAAGGGACTCTTGGTTAAGGTATGGAAGGATGAGTAGGAGCTGATCCCAACTGCCCCTGTCCCTACAGATACGAAAGTGGTCCCACAGCTCGGTCGCGGCTGGGGGCGGAGGGCAAGGCAAGGGCAAAGCAGGAAGAAAAGGGGGAGCGGGGAAGGTGGGGCAAGGCGTGACGGGACCTGACACGCTCCTCACGCTGCTGTCCTGACAGTGCCCACCACGTTCGGTCGCCACCAGCTCACAGGTGACACACGGGGAACGACTGTTCCATGACTGAATAACCAACCCCAGGCTCGGGACTCCGGGCCCCTCCACAGGGAGGTGGAAGCCCATGGACCTTCCCAACTCTCACCTTCCAGCTCAGCTCTTCCTCCTTCTCCTCGGCTCCATTGTGGATGTAAACAACGTCGAAAAAGAAATACGGGCACTGGAACATCCTCTGCAGGGGAGGGGACACGGGTGGGCACACGGGTGACTGCAGCTCCCAGCTCC